TGGATGTACTCCTCTCCGCTTGGAGAGTCGTATCTCATGAGGCAGGGGTAGTTTTCAGGCTGCACGCAGTCAAACTGCAGATCCAGCCACTGCCTGTGAGGAGCGTTGTGCCTCCTGGCGTCTGTCAGGATCCGGTTGAGGGCCATGATGTAGCTGAGGGCCATCTGCAGGGTTTCATACTTGGACAGTTTTTTGTCCTGGCCCCACTGGGGGACCACTTTACGTAAGCGATCAAAGGCTGTGTTCAAACCCTCCATCCTCTTCCTCTCTCTGGCATTGGCAGCCATCCGTCGCCTCGTGGCAGTCTCATATTTCTCTGGGCTCTTGGAGTCTGGTTCTGAGGACTCGGATCCAGAGTCAGTGCAGCTGGGGCGACGAGACTTCATGATTTTTGGTTGAAGAATGGAACCCGTGTGTGTCCTCAGATCAGAAAGACTCAGCCAACAGATTAATCAGAGAAGTTTCCCGTTTCAGCTTCAGGGTTCTTCAGAGGTCTCCTCGATGTTGCTGCCTGGCTGATGAAAGTTGTGTGTCCTGAAATATTTGTAACTCCAGAAAGACAGCCTGGAGAATCCAAGGTGTCTGTGATCCTGGAGACAGTGAGCGAGCAGCTTTTATAAGACGGAGCAGATGAACAGGTGGCAGCAGGTGGAGTCCATGCAGCTCCCCCACCCCAATATTGCTCATAGAGAAACACACCCATCCGGACTCATAAACACCCACACCCACTCTCAGCACACACACACACACACACACACACACATAGGCATATATATGCACACACACACACACACACACACACACACACACACACACACACACACACACACACACACACACACAAACCCTTAATGAAATTCCAATTATCTTGGGCTGGCCTATCTGGCCATGGCTTTACCAAAAGTCTACCATCTGGTAGCACAACTCACCACAGCTGATGGTGCAAACAAACTTTTAAAAGGCTTGACAGTGTGGATATTTCACAATTAAGCTAACATTTCCACCAATTATGTAAAATCACAAAAAGCAGCAAATAAAATAGAATTTAATCTTTAATAGTTTTTTTTATCTAAATTAAAATCCCATATACTGTGCCAAAGAAAGGATTTCTAATGTTACTTATTGTGTATGCAAACATACAGTATCTCACCTTGAATGATAAAAAGTCCTCTATTTTTTAGTTAATCAATATTTTACAAGTTCAAATGTTTTGTCTTTCTAACATTTTAACACTTTTGTATGGAAAGTTTAATACAGTTGTGGCTCAGTCATTGTAATATTTATCTGCTATGTGTCTCCAAAATAAGTCTGAAGGCATCACACGTTAATATCTCATTTATTTTGCAACTATAAATGAAATGTTAGGAAGCACTGTGGCTAAAAGTCTATTAGGATTTATTAAGTTACATAAGGCGCCAAGAAGTCCCCTTTCACTTCTCGTGTAACTGCTCTCCATGTGATAATAACCATAATCTGAGATTAGCCCGAGGCAACAGAAGTGGAAGTGTGGCCTGTAACCTGGCGGTTTTAACAGCAGATTAGGGGATTATGGCCCTCAAACAATGTGGGCCAAGATGGTGTACATATTGCTGCACCATCTGAGATTTGGAGAGTAGTTTGTGAACAGGTAGAATACGAAAATCTCCCATTAAAAGTGCATGAGTCTGAAAGGGTGTTTATCAGTGCTGTGGTCTCAATAAATCACAGTATGTGGGATGCATTAATTTTTCTTACGTACTTGGGACCACATGAGAGATAAATAATTGATCTATCTAGTGGTCCGAGAAAATGAGACTGACAGAATAATTTGTCTGTCTGTCCTTCCCATCTGCCAACATTGAATTCTGTAATTCAGCTTGTTCCCCCGTTATACACCCACTCAATCCACTCTACTGTATTTTAACTGTACTTAGCTCTACTTTGAATTCAAATAATGCCTCCCTTGCACTTTGAATTGTGTGTTGAGTTTAGAAGAAGATGCATAGAATGTGATTCATTTACTCAGTGCTTTGAGTGTTTTTCTACCTCACTACTTTTTGGAGAGAAATACTGTAATTTATACTTGTACATTAATCTTTCAGCTGTAGTTACTGTTTTTATTACAGATTACGATTTTTACATACAGAATAATGAGCTAGTAAAATATGATATGTTGGTATAAACTACCCAACAATTTACAACTTAACTAAAGTTTGTTCGATCTTGACTGGCTCTAAAATATAAAATTCAGTTTACACGTTATTGCATCAATAACAATAATATATAACAGATAATAATATAATATAATCCACACTGTAAAAATGAGCCATTCTTCATAATGAGTACTAACTGGTGAGTACTTACTTAACTTAAGTAAAATGGGAGTGCAGGACTTTTACTTCTAATGGAGTACTTTTACACCAAGGTATTGCTACTTTTACTTAAGTAAAGGATCTAATATTTCTTCCACCTCTTCTGCTTTATTTGCTGGCGTCGTCCTTTGTCAGAAGCACATGTAGCTCCTGTCACTGTATTGACAAACTCAAAGCTTGGGTGTAGAGGCAGGTTATGAATGATTAAACACTGTCGGAGGCCTAGAATAATACCCGTCTCTGGTATTGGGTCATGGACACAAGCTGATGCTGTCTGGTCATTTTGCGATGGACTGGTTAGCTGTGCAATTAGGCATATAATCCCATCTACCATTTGGTTCATTGATTACAGATTGATGTAGTTTGCCAGCTGCTGCTTGTCTTGTTTGAGGGCCTTGTCTCAGACGTGGCCCGGCCCTTCCGTGTCTTCCACCCCCTTTTTTTTTTTTACAACCCCTCACATGATTGGCTTGTCTGAGCACCGGTGGCTGAGCCATGCCCTCTGTCAAAAGCCATATGTCACAACTGAGGAGTGACCCGTCTGCTCTGATAGAAACATCTACCCTCGTAAATCCAGCTCTCCTTATGGAGATATGGAGATTAGCACACAAAGCGTATGTTTCAGTACAGGAGAAAGTGTAAGAAAGGATTCCCACTGCATGTGTGGTTTGACTTGATAAATCTCATTATC